GGGACTCAGCAAAGGAAGCTACATGTCTTATCCCTGAACCCTCAGTCCACTGGGGTACCCGGCCACCCCCGCGTTTGCCAATCAAGGCCACGGCTGAGCTCCTGACACCATTTCTAGGATGAGCTTTTCCAGGCAACTGTCAGTTCCCTCCCCTCACCCAACTCCCACCTCAGGAAACTTTCATATCCTGACAGACACAGTCACATTTCGGACACCTTTCAGCAGGGAAGGGTCTTTCTTGCCTTTCCTTTTGCGTGAAAGTGGTGCCTCTTGACCTTGAACCTGCTCGTGAACCTCTAGAGTTGGCTCAACAGGGCCTCACCTGCCACGATGCTGTCCAGGGAAGCAGACGTTGATCTGAGAAGCTCCCCTGTCCCCTGTCGCCTCTGGCTGAGAGAAGGGAAGGGGGCAGCTGAGGTCTGTCTTCGCGACCTCCGTCCCCTCCTCCTCCTGCTACTCGGGGGCCTGCCACGTGCGCTCCATTATACACAATCTTGTTCTTCTTTGGGGCCCCCCAAACATCTGCTCTCTCATATAAATTCTGTATGCTTTGGGTGTCATCTGGGTGCCCCTGGCAGGGGGCAGAGGCTGGGGGTCCCTCACTTGAGCTCGGTTGGGTTTTGCCTATAAAACTTAGAATCTTTTGAGCTGGAGACAGAGCCTGAAGATGATTTTATCCAACCCCCTCATTATATGAATGAATGAATGAATGAATGAATGAATGAAAAAATGTAGGTCCTGAGGCTGCTGACCACCCACAGAAGGCAGAGCAGTGCCCAGCAGGGAACTCAGGCCCACTGCCTCCCTGGGACCAGCAGAGCAGAGGGCTCGCTGTGTGCAAATACTCAAGGACAGGCTCCCCAGGCAGAAAACTTTGGCTCAGAAGCAGACGGGGGGAATTAGGCTTTAGTGCACACGAGAAAGCAGAGGCAGGGTCCTGGGAGGGTGTGACCTGTCCGAGGTCACACAACAGAGGTCTAGGATCCCAGTGCAGTTGTAGGTGGGAATCCAGAGACCGCAGTTCTGCCAAGAGGAAGGGCCTGAGGCGCCCAGCACCCATCCTGGGTCCTGAGGGGCTATGGCCCAGCTCTGGCTCACCACCCTCCACCCCTGTGGGAAGTGTCTGCTCTGCACATGGCAGCCACCAAGCCTTGCTGTCAGGGCCGAGCTCACACTTGCAGTGCACGCTGGGTCCTGGCATGTCTGGCACATTCAGTGGAATCCAGCCTTTTACCCGTACCCACTCACCAAGTGGCGCGTTTGTGTTCCAGAGGTTAATAAACTTCTCATGGGTTGTATTCACATGTGAGCATGTATTCCCTGAGTGTGGGATACCAGTCAAGACTGGGGGAAGCGCAAACGAGCTCCATGCACTCATCAGAAAGATGGGCTCAGTTGGAGGGGCAGCCTGCAAAGGAACAGAGCCCGGGGCCTGGCTGTGCACGGCTGGGCCTGGCTGGGCTGCCTCCCCCCCACCCCCCCAACGCACCGTGTAATTCTTAAGATGGAATGCCATTTCTCCCGCTCTCTGCCCTTCATCCACTTGTGATGTTTAATTTACTGTGTCAGCTTGGCTGGGCCATGGCGCCCACATATTATTCTGGCAGTTTCTGTGATGGTGTGCTTTGGATAAGATTGACATTTAAATCAGTGGACTCTGAGTAATGCAGATCACTCTTTATAACGTGCTGGGCCTTGTCCAATCGGTTGAAGGCCTAAATAGAACAAAGACTGACCTACCCCGAGCAAGAAGGATATATACCAGCAGGCGGGCCTTCAGACTCAAACTGCAACTTTCCCTTGAGTCTGCAGCCTGCTGGTCTCCTCCATCTGATTTTGGATTTGCTAAGCCTCCACCACCATGGGAGCCAATTCTTTGAAATAAATCTCCCTATGTACATCCCATTGTATATCTCTGGAGAGCCCTAATACACCACTTTTATTCGGGGAGAAAAGAGAATTACCCAAACGTTAAGGAGGGGCTCCCCTGACCCATCACTGAAAAGCTGGTGGCTCTTATGGATTTGTCCCCAGTGCCCCCAACAACTCAGTCCACAGCCCTGAAAACAGACCTTTGAAGGCCAACTGGTGGGGCAAGGGGGTGTCACTGAGTCCCCCCTGGGGCAAGGAGGAGGCTGGTGAGTTCCACGTGGGAGGGAACCAGCAGTTTCGGAATTATCCCTGCCCAACCACTGGTAACCCTGAGCGCTTTTCTAGTCCAGAATTTATCAGATTTCAGTTTATTACCCTCCCTCTCCAAGTTTTTGAAGGTGAGAAAAAAAAATCTCAATGTGTTTTCTTCAAGTGCTTGAAGAAACAAGGGATCAGCAAGTGCATTGGGAAAGGACCCTAATTATAATTTCTGAGTTTATGCACTTTATTATTTGATTAAAACCTTTGATTGTGGAGAGAAGCTGCAAATAGGCCCCTGGTTCTGAGATTAATGGATAGATGGAAAGGGAACTGTAACAGTTGTGCAATGATTGATCTGTCCCCTGTCCCTCATGAGGGAAGATAATGACTTAAGCATAAACCGCACCTTCCCAAGGCACGAGGTGCTTGACTTAGCAGCCCAGCTTCCAGGCCAATAAGGGCTCATCCTAACGACGTCACAGTCAACAATCAGCTCGTGTCTAGGAGTGGGTTCTATTTTTTTCCTTGTACACACGCACAGAGACAGAGAAAGGGAGCTTAAGGGACAGAAAAGTGCATTTTAGGAAGGCAATTACATTGACCAAAACAGGAGAAGAGCACATCTAAACTAAACCGTCCAGTTTGGAAATGCCGCCTACTGAGTCTGTACGTACATTAACCGACTCCTTTGCTGTGGAGGAGAACGTGGTTTCCGTTTCATTCTGTGAACAGTTAACCAGAGTACGGCAGTCATTTTAAGGTGCCAATGGCCTGGGAAGTTGGGTTGGGTTTACGGTCGCTATCAGTTTCGAGGCAAGGATTGAAATGTCACATTTGATGGCAACCTGGAGCTTTCTACACAAGGCTGAATCACTAGAGTTGGGGGCGGGTGTGTGGGAGGGAGTGGCTTGGGGATAATTTGGGCCAAGCCCCTCAGAGCAGATGGGGTTGCCCAAAGATCCATGCTTTCAGGTGATGGCTAAACTGGGACCACATTCAGCTTCTCTCATCTTCCCCTCTACTGTGCTGTGAAGCAAGCGGAATAACCCAGCTGTGAAGTGACCTGCCTGTACCTGCTGAACGGCGTGCACCTCCCTCCCCAAGTCCTATGTTGAGGCCCTCACCTGCAGAAGCTCAGAATGTGACAGGGCCTTTAAACAGGGGTTGAATGAGGCTCTGAGGATGGGCTCTGATCTGATCTGACTGGTGTCCTGGTGAGAGGGAACGTGGACACCAGGGCATGCACACAAGCACGGAAAAGACCGTGTGAGGACACGCCATCTGCAAGCCCAGGAGAGGCCTCGGAAGAAAGCCAGTCTGTGGCCATCTTGATCTCTGACTTCTGGTCTCCGGAACCGTGAGGAAAGAAATGTCTCTTGTTGGAGCATTTTGTTATGGCAGCTCTAGAAAACTAAGGACTATCTTGTCCAAGTCCGTACACATGGAGGTGTGGTCTTCTGTAGAGCTTTCCAGAGCCCAAGTGTTGCCCGTGGTGGCTCTGTGACCCTGGAACCTAATGCTATCTTAGAGAGCAAGAGCAAGAGAGAAAAGCTGGCGTGCTAAAAACACACAGCGGAGAGCCCGGCCTTGTTTTGCTACTCATAATCTCATAACTGGAAATGCACACACTGAGAGCTTGCCTGGAGAACTGGGGGGGGGGGGGGGGGTCACGTCCTGCAGTGGCCCCTCCACCAATCCTGCGGACTTCATGGAAAGTGCTTGGTACCTCCCAGCTCAGGTTTGCTACTAGGAAGATGGGCATCATCCTGCCTCATCTTCTGGAAGCATCTGGCTGCCTACATATGTCCCCAGTCCGGGAAGCAGACACTGCCCTGTATTAGGATTAAATGACAACCCCCATATATTCATGGGCATCCAGATTATTCTAAGGCTGGCTTGTTTTTGACTCAAAATGCACCAAGTGTTGGCAAATCCAGCTCCAGATCCCAGGCAGCCTCTTTGAAAGCTGCCTTCTACTTAGGTGGTAGAGACGTGTATCTACATGGTTAGATTTCAGGGCTTTGGACAGGAAATACTGCCCATGTGAGCAGGGACAGTATCCCCCAGGCCTGAAACAGTGCCTGATGATACTAACTCGGACCAGCCAAAGTCTGAAATTCTCCTTGTCAGAGTCACTTCTTGGGTTAAGGCATTAAAGACCCCTGCTGAATATGTTGTAGGGGCCATACATATTAAGACATCATCAGCCATTAACACCTCTTTGTGACTTCATCAGTGTGGCTTCAGACCCACTCTGGACCCCTTAGGGACCAAGGCCGGGGCAGCTGAGTCCTGGTGGGAGGAGAGGAGGGAAGATTCACAGCTTATGGGGCAGAGGGAAGGGGAGAGCCCAGGAAGGTGTGCTGTATGGACTGGTGTGGGTAACCAACAAGGATAAAGGATTTCACAAGGAACACTGTTTGGCAATGCTGAACCGGCCAGACCTCCACAGGAGAGTCACCTTTTTGGCCTGATGGCCCAGATCATGAGCAGGAGGGCCAGGCTAGTTGGTAGGCACACAAGTCCGGCTGTGTCTGTGTAAAGAACTCGGCCTGGGGCCATGGAGTTGGGTGTGTAGGGACAAATACACAGCTGGAACAGCCAGGGATTGGCACTCAAGAGGCGGGGCTACACCCATGCTCTCAGCCAATCAGCTTGCCTGCTGGCTCCAGACTCCCCGACACCCACCCTGGGGCAGTTAGAGCTACTCTGGGGGAAGCTGTGGAGACAACGTGGGTCAAGTGACAACAGCGAAGCGCGGGGGCAGCCTGGGTCTGGCAACCAAGGGCCTGGGGCTCACAGGCCATCAGGGGAGCACGGGAAGGGCTATCTGGCTGTCCACAGTCCAGGGAGGAAGGTGACGAGGCTCAGCAGGGGGAAGATGACATCTGGTCATAGTCGGGGCACTTGAGCAAGGCTGGGTAGTTGCTGTTCATCTGCAGGGAGGTGTCACTGGAGATGTCGGAGGGGCTGCGGCCCCGGACCCAGGCGTCCGGGTGTAGGAACTGGCCTGAGTAATCAGAGCAGTTGCTCAGGCGAGGCCGGTAGAAGCCGGGGTGGGGCCTGTACAAGTCCTCGGCGGTGTACCGCTTCATGAACAGGTACACGGACATCACCCCCGCGCTCTACAGGGACGAGAAAGCAGAGGGGCACTCACAGCTGGGGTCCTGGCCTTGCTCGCCGGCTGGGGGCCGGGGTCTGCACAGGATGCGGCCACCGGAGCAGCTGAGGCCCCGGGGACAGAGCAGGGATGTCCTGGACAAGCGGGCCCGGGGAAGGTGGGAGAGTGACACATTCTTGGGAGGAAGAAGGGCAGCAGAGAGGGTGGGGCCGGGGCCCCCTGCCTGCCCAGGGAGGTTTACCTCTGTCAAAAGGAACGAGATGGCAGCGAAGGCGAAGGACCAGCCGTACTTGTAGTTGAAATAGGTCTCTGCGTCCTTGGTCCTGTTGAGCATCTCATCGTTGATGCTGGAGATGTAGAGCACGAGGCCCACCACCAGAGAGAGGCCTGCGCCAAGGCAAGGGGCTGCTTAGTGAAGAGGACCCAGGGCCTTGGCTGATGGGGCACCCACCTCCCCTTGGGGTTCAGGAAGAAAGCCTCATTTTGGGTTCGAAGGAGAGCAGGAGCTTTCCTCCTAAAGACCTTGTTTAGACCATTACCTTCTAGAAAGCAGATGGTTGCAGGGAGGAAAGCTCCCTGTCCAGCCACCTTCTGAGCCACGGAAGCCCCATGGCTGTCACCCCACCTGCCCACCCATGAGGATCACTTGTCAGACATACTTGCCTGAGCCCTGTCCCCGGACTTTCTGGGTCACTTGGCGTGGGCGGGGGCCCTGGCACTGGGTTGTCTTAAAAGCTCCCCAGCTGATGCTAAGGTGAACTAAGGGTGCGAACCACTGAGTTAGCAAGTGGCCTTTGGTAAACTGAGGAATAAGACAGGCTCCCTTGGCAGAGGCAGCCAGGACCTCCGATCCCTATCTCCTTAACGTCCTTGTGGAGACTAAGTGGCCCACGGTCTTCACAGCGCCACTGACCATGGGGGCGGCATACTGAAATCCTGAGGCAGGAGGGGTAAAGTGAGTTTGTCCAGATTCTGGCAAGCGATAAATCAAGAGGCCACTCGGGCCCAAACTCCTGCTCTCTTGTGCAAGTGACTGCCTCAGGCACCGGTCCCTTGGTTAGTTACTGTCATTGAATTAGGACATAATTAATTACTCTGTTTTGAGCTGTTCAGGCTTAATTCCACTCACATGATTAAACTAGGGCATCTTGAAGGAGGAACATTAAAGGAAAAGAGGTGTGATTCGAGCCTTCCTTGGCACTTAACTCGTACTGCAATCATTGCTGGCCCAACAGAGAACCTTCTCTGTTGTTATCATTAAGACAACTTCGCGTGGCCCCGTTCATTCTGAGATTTCTGATCCCGTTGCCCGCGGCTGGAAAAACCTCAGGTGCCTCGAAGTTACTCTACGGCCTTGACTCTTGTCAAGTTAGAAAGATAAAGGAAAGGTTTAACCCCTGAGTCTGTACCTCTTAGACTAGGTGGAAATATCACCAGGCAGAAGGCAGGCCGAGGACTTCGCAGGTGCCCAATAAATATTTGTTGGACTGATGGATGGAAGGGTGGACAGAAGAGTGGTGTGTCAGTGGAGAAAAAGATGGACAGATGGATGGAAGAAAGGATGGAAGGAGAAAAAAGGAAGGAAGAAAGAAGGAAGGGAAGGAAGAGGAAGGAAGGAAGGGAGGGAAGAAAGGAAGGGAGGGAGGGAGGGAGGGAGGGAGGGAGGGAGGGAGGAAGGGAGCTATACTGATAAGAAAATGTTGAGAAAAGGAACCTAAACTGGCTTGGCGGTCAGAATACCTGGTGCCCAAGAGCTATTTTTACTCCCTTCCTTCCCTCCTTCCTTCCTTCCTTCCTTCCTTCCTTCCCTCCTTCCTTCCATCCATTATCCAAGCCATCCACCTACCCATCTTCCATCTGAGCATCTCCTCCCTAAGCCCTCCCTTGTCAATGAGTCCAGGGCTCCAGGGCACCTAAAATACAGGCTCTGAGGGTCACTCTTCTGTCTTGAAGTATTATCTCCAAAAGCAAAGGTCCTCCTGAAAATGCACAGGTCACCTTAAAGGGGAGAAAGAGCCTATCTTTATTTCCCACATTCTCTTGCTCTCTCACTCTGTGCACTCCCTGGGAGTGACCTCAGCCCGACCCATGGTTCCCTCTCCTACTCCCTAAGAGGTTAGCTCTTAATCTCTATTTTGGGTCCAGGCCCCTTCCACAAAGCCTCTGACCTTTAGCAGCCTTGGGGACACCTCCTCCCAGATGTTACCTGGGCACCTCAAACTCAGCACTTCCCACACTAAACTCATGAACTTGGCCCAAATTTGCTTCTTCTCCTGTGGTCTCTAGATCAACCGTGGATGCGTCATTCACCCACTGCCTAGACAAGAACTTGGCACCATCCTTGACTTCCCTTAAAGCCTGTTGAGTTTCTCTCCCAATGTCACCTGAACCCTCCCCTTTCTCCCTTCTCTCCTATCACCCCCTTCGTGTGGGCCACCATCACCGCTCTCCTGTGCCACCGAAAGAGCCCCTCACCTGCTCTCCCTGCCCCTGTCCTGCTTCCAGTCCTTCCGTCCATTCCCCAGAGTGGCCATTTCAAGACCCCCAAATGTGACCATATCGTCATCCCTTAGCTCAAAATCCTTCTGAGGTTTCTCACAATGTCCCAAATCCTCAGATGCCGTCCCGTCTCCCTCCCGCCACATTCCACTTTACACTCCTGTCATAAAGTGCAACGGACCCCCCAGTGCTTCATCCTCTCTCTTTCCTCCAGGCTCCCTTTCCATCCCTCTCAACCTCGCTCCTTTACCTAATTCCTACGCATCCGTCAGCTCCCCTTCTGGTTGTCTTACCTGACCAACCCTTGGTCTGAATTTCAGTCACTGCTCTTGGCCCCCATAGGAGTCCCTGCTTGTCCTGCTATGTTCATATTAGTAAATCTCCTTGTTTATATCTCCCACTCCGCTGCCGCTTTTGTGAGCAATGATGCCAGCACCCAGAATAAGGCCTGGTAGATACAATTCATGAATGAATGAATGAATGAGTGAATGAATGAAATACAACCTGGTGTCTCCCCAGGAAGACAGATTCATGTTTAAGGGACCTGGGTATGGGCGTGACTGGAAAGTCAAGGGTTCAATAGGAGTCTCCTGACGATAGCTGAGGGCTGGGAGTGAAGGAGCCATAATTCCAAAGGTAGACTGTACTTACCTTCCATGCAAAACCAGGAAGAAATAGCCCCTTCAAAAACAAGAATGCTCATTATCGGTAGAACTAAGAAGTCAGAGGTGGTGACAATGGGGAGCGGGGAGAGAGCCCCGGGTTCTAATCCCAGCTCTGCCCCAGGTGAGCCTGTCCGGTCCCTCCTCCTCTGGGGGTCATGGATGGGCTCGAGGTCATCAGAGGCCTCCCTCACTCCAACTCGGTTCTGCCTGGGGCACAGACTCAGCTGCTCCCGTGCCAGGGGCTGACCCACAGCTGTGACCACACTTCCCAGAGCAGAGCCGTGGAGGAGTCAGGTGTCGAGAGTCGGGAGTGCGCGAAAGAAAACAGTACAGCTTACCCGAGAGAATAAAAAAGATGCCAGAGACAAAGGCCAGTATTGTCCTGTGGGGACGGATGTGTCCGATGTTGCTCAGGATAAACCCAATGAACATGAAGAAGAGGCTGACCAGGGGGAACGGTGTGGCCGAGCGAATCATCTCTAATTGAGGAGACAAAAGGACACCGTCAGCCTCCCCTTACCTACTTACCTCCCCTCCCAGGTGTTCCTGGCAGGTCCCCGAAGCCCCCTGGCCTGCATGAGTTCTCTGGGCCCCATCCCCTCCTTGGGTGGCCCGGGGACCTCCCAGCACCGGCAGGGCTTGCATCTCTGAGGCAGGGTTGGGAGGGCTGACACTGCCACCATGCTTCTGTCTTCTCTTCCGGCACAAACTGCTCCCTCCTGGGCACCTAGTATGGCAGCCGTGAAAGGGCCTTATCACTCACCTCACCTCCTCTCCCGGGGGCATGCGCCCTCTCCAGGGGCACAGGCATCTATCTCTGAGGGGCGCTGCAGACAGTTCCTGGCCTCTGTCGTCTTCAACTTATAACTACTTGGGGGATGGTCTGCCTAATGAATGTATCTTGTCTTTGTCCTTGGTTCCTGAGCGAGAACCTCCAAATCCCTGGAATTTCCCAAGTGAGAAGAGTGTCCTTGATATTCATGGTGGGCCTCTCGACTACCCCTGAGATTCTTCCAATCAGTTGACTCAGGACGGGGCTGGAAAGACCAACCATGTGATTAGACGGTTGGGGTTTTGAGCCACGTGATCCGGGCCTGACTCTGGGAAGGGGGGAGGGGTCTGGAGACGGTGTTCAGTCATGCGGTGGACAGCTCACTCGAACATGCCTCCGTAAATGAAACCCAGTACATACTCGGCACCAAAGCCTGGTTGGGTTTCCTGGTTAGTGAACACATCCATGTGTCAGGATGGTGACACAGCCTGATTCCATGGGGAGAAGACATGGAGGCTCGGCATTCAGTGCCCTCCCAGATCTGGCCCTATGTGCCTCCTCATCTGACTGGTCTTGATCTGAAATCTTTATAATAAAACTGTGATAGGAAGTATAGTGCTTTCCTGAGTTCTATGACTTGCTCTAGCAACGTTTTGAACCTGAGGGGGGTCACAGGAACGTCTGACTTGTAGCCAGCTGGTCAGAAATGCCGGTGGCCTTGGGGGTCTTCTGAACTTCCAGCTGGTATGGGAAATGAGGGAAGTCTGGTTGGGGGACTGAGTCCCTAGCCTAAGGCTAAGGGGTGATTGTATCAGAACCGTATTGCAAGCCCACACTGGGGTCAGAATCGACCCTGGTGAGGCAAAGGCCATCGAGTCAATCTTCTTGGGGGCCAGAGAGTTTGCATCAGTTCCCTGAGTGCTATGGTTTGGATGCCTAGGGTGGAGCCCTCATGAGTGGGATCGATGCCTTTATAAAAGAGACCCCACGGAGCTCCCTCACCCCTTCCTCTTTGTGAGAACACAGAAACAAGGCACCAGCTATGAGCCAGGAGAGGGCCCTCACCACAACGTGATCCTGCTGGACCCTTGATCGTGGACTTCCAGCCTCCATGACTGAGAGAAATAAATTTCTGTGGGTCAGAAACTACCTGGTCTGTGGTATTTTGCCACGGTAGCCCACACAAACTAAGGCACGAGGCAGAATGCCCTCTCCCTTGCCTGGGCCACAAGACTTGGGAGACTCCAGCAAGCTGTCATCACCACTGGAAGAATAATCGGCAGAGCAAGCTCTGGTGAGCTGAGGCCAACCCCATCAGCTGAGTGGAAGGGCATTAGTGCTTGAGAAGCAAGCTGGTCATCCTGCCTCTTCCCCCTGCCCTGCCCTGATCTGTCTAGCCAGTGACCCAGGTCAGAAAGTCTGAGGCACCTACTTAGAACATTGACCGTGGACTCTGACGTCAACTGAGTGTTCATGGGCATCACATACTCTATGGTGAAGCAGCGTCCCCGCTCCTCACCTGTGAAGACAAGAATCATTTGCATTTCCAGGTGATTCTTGAACATGGATGTGAAGTTCATACATTCAAATGGTATCCCCAAATGCTTCTGGGATCTTTGGCCCACTGTGTTTGCGCCTGGGCCGGATCTAAATCTCGGGGGTCCCATCCCTGGCTAGTGACCCGCAGTACGGGTGGGGGTGCCTCCTGACCTGGAGGCACCTGAAGAAGTAGCACTGTGAATGTGGACCCAAGCACCAAGAGTCACATGAAAACAAGTCCGCACTACAAACTTGAGGTTAAGTGACACATCCGGTGGCCATCTTGTTGCTTTGGGACAGACTCAGCTGATGATGGCACATGGCTGGCTTAGATTCCCCAGCAGGGATGTCATGGAACAGAACCCCCAAAGCCTTCTCAGTCATTTTGGAAGCCAGACCCTAGTGACTTCAAATTCTCCTTCACACTGAAGTAGAGACTGATGCCGCATAGTTTCAGCAAGTGAGAGGTGAGGTCAGCGTCAGATGCCATTTCCAAAGTAGACCGAGGAGTCACCAGGAGGCCAGGCCCTGAGGTGTCCTCCATGCTGGATGCTGCTGGGCACCAATCACCACCCTCATTCTCCAAAGCCCCACTATAAAGCTGGGAGGACCACATGCTCCCTCTGTCCTGTGTACATGTAAAGTGCCAGGGGCCCTTCTAGAAAGGCTCCGTGATCACCCTTTGCGGATTCTAGCCAGCCCAGCCTCGTGACCAGTCTCACAGAGCATGGAGATGCTCCTCTTGTGCAGGTTGGTTCTGGGCCATGATAGAGGGATAAAGACAAAGTGCTTGGAATAGCAACTCAAGGGTTCTAGAGACGTCCTCGAGAACTGGAGGGAGGCCCAGATAGGTGGGATCAAAGCCTGCACCATCTTGCCGATTTGGAAGGACGTACACCTGGGTTTTCTCTTTCCCATTTCACAGGATTGGAACAGGGAAACTGCCAAGTCTTTCCCATTCTGTAAACGAGTGGACCTGTAATGTTGAGTCAAGAAGACTTACTTTGCCTCCTTGGTCTTCATTTGCTTCTTTGTAAAGTGGAAATAATAAGTCCTGCCTTGGAGTGTTGTGGGGAGGCACTGAGATCAATAATTCCACGGGCTAAGGCACACAAGGGTGGTTCCAGACCCGTGGGAGGCCAGCCTCATTCAGCCTGGGAAGCAGTGTGGGGAAGGGTGGGGAAGGCGTGGCTGCATTCATCTCTCAGGTTGGAGGGACACAGGTCCCAGGGATGACAGGACCTGCTCCTGGACACTGTGACTCAGGGCTTACGTTTGGAATGGGCCCTGGTTGCTGCAGGGAGCCCCACCCAGAATTCACAAGCGCCATCTCTGGTGAACTGCCCCCTCCCAGTGGGGGCATCTCTTCCCAACGGGGGCTCTTGGGCAGGTTTTCCGGGGGGTGGAAGGGCTGCTCCTGTCTCTGGGAGAGGGCTGTCCCAACCTGGGGTGCCCTTACCTGCGAGGAAGCAGACACGCCACAGGCCCGAGTGCAGGGACATCTTGATCTCCATGCTCTGGTTCTGGGGCAGGACCACGCCCTCCTCCAGGTAGAGCCAGTAGTCGGTGCTGACTGCGATGCCCAGGAGACCCAGGCCACAGACAGCAAAGACGCTGCTCAGCAGGGTCAGGGCCTTCCTCCCGCAGCCACTCATCTTCCCAGAGGTTGCTGGGCGGCCTGCAGCCAAGGAAGTGGTCTCTGGAGGCAGGAGAGAGGGTGAGCCTCTGAGGAGGCCAAGATGAGGGGCCTGGAGGAGGTAACTCAAGTCAACCCCGCTCGGCTAACCGGATACAGAAAGACCCCCAGGCCAGCTCCTGGGTGCCAGGCCACTATGGGGGTGCTTCCTCTCCCCCTCAGGAATTCACAGCTTTCTGGACAGGCTACTACAAGGGTCCCCCTTTCCTCTCTCGGAGCCCCCCTTGCTGGATAACACCATTCATTCACTCATCTGCAGCAACCCACTGTGCCCACATGGAAGACAAGATGAACAGCACACTCTCCTTGCCCTCGAAGAGTTCCCATGATCTCCCATGGAGGCATGAACTCTGCGGGGGCGGACTTCTCTGTGTTAAGAAGGACTCTGAGCAGGATGCAGAGGGGGAAGCAGCAGTGGCCTTAAGAAAAGGCAGAGGGGCAGAGAAGGCCTCTTGGGAAGGTGTCTTCTTCATGGACTCCAGTGAGTTGTAGTTCTGGGTCAGCCCAAGTCAAGAAGCCACACCACGGTCCAAAGCCAATGGGCCTCTAAACCCAACTGACCTTGCGGGTTCAGCAGGTGGTACTGGCGGGAGCCAGCTCTGAACCAGCCAGAGGCCGAGAGTCTATGCAAGGGGAGCCGTGAACCCCCTACTGATACCTGCCATGGCCAGGCATGGGCTCGTGCAGGGAAAGACTGACAGTAGGGGCAGACAGAGGCCAGTCTCTACAGAGCCCACAGCCCAGTTCAGGGCTTCTGGACACTGGTCGCAATCTAGAAACATCTGGGGAGCATCTAAAAATCCCTCCAGCCTGGGTGGCCCTCTGAGGGATTCTGGGGCAGCTGGCCTCCTACGGGGGCAGGGGTATCCTGCAGGTGCTCTCGGCGATTCTAATGTGCAGCCCAAGTGGAAAACAACTGATCTTTGCTCCTCAGAGTGTGATCCATGGACCAGCAGCATCGGCCTCATCCCAGAGTTTGTCAGAAAGGCAGAATCCCAGGGCCTTCCAACTTTCTTAACCAGAATCTGTATTTTAACAAGATCTAGGTGAGCTGCGGATCTGCTGAAGTCTGAGGGGCTCTGAGCCAGCCAACAAGAAACCACGCTACAACGCAGTAAGTGCTATGATGGGGAAAGGCAGGATATGATGAGAGCCCAGGGGAGGGTCACCTAGGGGGCTGTAGGGGGCAGGCAGAGCCATTTCTAGAAGGGGAGGGGGCCAGCAGAGCAAGTCATATGCCTGCAAAGTTGCCAGGCCGTCAGCATCTCTCACGGGCCCTTTTGCTGTCAGTCCTAGAAAGTCAGAAATTCTGAAATGTTAATGGTCAGGAAAGAGTCAAGTGCCACAGCGCCTGTGATGGGGAGGTGGGGGTCACCCACCTCAAGACCCTAACCCAGCCAAGACACGGGTACGTCTGGGCCGAGCCCGCGGAGAAGGGACAGAAGCCACGCTCCGGTCAGGAGGCTTGATTCGTCTGTGAAGTCTGAGCTGGCTGTGGGAGAAGGGGAGGAACAGTGGGAGCTCTGTGCAACAAAGGGGGAGGAACGGACCCTGGTTCCACAGCTTCGGCCCAGCTGAGTTTACGCAGCTATGGAGCGATCCCCACGCTGGCTTCCTGGGGGTGTGCGTGAGAGCCTGGGGGCAAAGGCCTGCTGTCCACCATCCTTCCCATACCGGCTTTGACGAAGGAGGGAAAAAGAAACTCCCCAAACAGCCAGCCCCACCAACAAGCCAAGTCGTTCTGCACGCAGTGCGGTGGGACAAGGGGTGGGACGGCTCGGCTCCCGCCGGGGTTACCCGCATCTAAGAGAGCACCTACTCTGCTCTGTGACCCCATCATCACAGGCAGAACCCCGGGGCCCCTGGGGGAGGGGAGGGGGCGGGGCAGGCTGCCTGCAGGAGCCCCAGGGAAGTGACCGCCTGGACTGCTGGGATGGGTAGTGACGAGAGAATGATAACTGAGACTTTTTTAGCAGTTTGCGGTACTTTCCCTCATTCCTGAGGCTTGCAAAACCCCGAATCTGCCAGAGGGAAGGGGATCAGAAGCCCATGGGTGGTTGGGGGGGGGGGAAGAAGGGAAGGAGAGGAGAAAAAGGGATTCGATCCCCGATGAGAAGAACAGCTCTGTACGCTGCGAAGAGCCTGGAAGGGAGAGGTGGGGCGCCCGGACACAGCCCGGTCACTAACTAGCCGTGTCGTGTTGAAACAGTAACCTTTCGGAGGGCCATTTTTTTCTCGAAGAGAATAACAATAAAAGCCAAAGTATATTGAATATTCTCAACTGTTAGGCATTCTGCTAAGCACCTGACTCTCTATTTTAATCCTTACAGCCTGTTACCATCCCCACTTTATAGGTGAACAAATTGAGGATCAGAAAGGTTTTAAAAAACTTGCCGAAGATCACTCAGCTAGCAAGTGGTGGTGCCTGCCTTTGAACTTCACCCTGCCCCACTCCCGAGACCTTTCCCATGCCACCTCTACGAGTGGTTTCCAAAGCGGGTTCCGTGGAGCACTATTCTAGTAAAAAAGACTCTCATGGGAAAAAAGCATGGGAAGTACTGCATCTAGATCTTGAAGAATCATGCTGCACATTAATATGTTACAGGCCTGAAAAGCGTGTGCAGTTTCGCTCACTGCGGTGTTTTCCGAACTTCTGGGTCCACAAAATGGTGTCTGGTTCCGTGGTACCCACTTTGCGAATGCTGCCGTCCCCCCTCCCCCTGCGGGAAGAATACCAAGCTCTCACTAGGCCACTCCATGAACTTGCTGGGGGATTAAACGCAGCACGGATGCAGCGTGCTTTGTAAGGAATTAGCATCACACAGCAATGGGGTAACCAGCCCCCCGCCTTGCAGGGCGCACAGATCACGGCTGACCGGCCAATTTTAACAGTAAGCTTGGCAGAGAGACAAAAAAAGACTCAGATCTGAGAGATCTGGGGAGGGAGGGTGGAGAGGAGATTGGATCTGAAGTTATACATGCAGGAGAGAAAGGAAAAGACTGAAGTGGACCCGCCAGCCACACTGCAGGAGCAGACCGCGAAGCCTGGGGTGAGCTTGGGCAAAGGGAAAAGTCCCTTTCCGGAGTGCGTAACAAATCCGGGGGACGCCACGCAGAGCGAGAAATGGTCCTCTTACCCATTACACAGTTGTATTTGTGCTTCTGTTCTGAAATCGTATTTATGCACAAATAAATATCATGAGCTGAGTACGGGAAAGCCCTTTGTGTACAGTACCTCATTGGGACCTGACAAGAACCCCGTAAGTTGTAGGTGGTATATGCCCCCATTTCATGGATGGGGAAACTGAGGCTCAGACATGTTCCAGAGCCTACAGGACATCACAGGTGGCTGACACCCGTGACCTGTGATTGATTTAAATTTAGGTCTAATTCCCAAGTTTATGCTACGGCTACATCATCTCCCTGCTGAAGGAGTAAACAGGTTCAAGAAACTTGGGGTGAAGAAGCACATCCAGAGCAGGTCACTGGGGAATCTAGAAATGCATGGGGCACAGTATTTCGGAAGATTGTCTTTGGAAATAGCCTAGTGTTACATAAAGGTTGTCTCCTGACCCTCCTGGGTTTACTTTGGGGGAGTCAGCCGGCATATCCTCTCATATTGAGAGGCGAACTCTAACCCAGCATTTCTGATTCCCAAAACCACCCTTCAGGGCAGGAAGACTAACGTTTCCCTCAAAGCACATTTTAGAAAACCAGGGTCCAGAGGAGAGATTCACCTGAGATCGTACGGCCAGTTCTGTGGAGGGACAAGAGTGTGAACTGGAAATCTTCTGAATGCTGATCCAGTGCTTCTTCCTCTGTGCTGTACAGAAAATCATAAGGCAGAGGGGAAAATTCATGCACCTGCCCACTGTGAAAGCAACACCACCATTCACATCTTAGTTCCCAGCCTTTCTCCTGTGTGACTGTGTGCTTGCTCACAGATTCTTCCAGTCAATATCTTCAGTGGGTGGGGCAGGGACAGCGGTCCCCTGAAGACACTCTGGTTGGGAATGGATTCCCAGTTCCCACATAATCAGATCTTTGCTTTTCCATGGTTGTTTCTCCTTCTCACGAACCCTCTCCCTCGGCTATAGCATCCAGTTGATTCTTCTCATGGGGGAGGCAGACCTTTTTTTTATAAGTTGCTACCACCAGACAAGATGTTTACTCTATAATATTAAGTGAATAAAGCTGGAGATAAAACCCCATGTTTGTCAGGACCTCAACTATGAAACAAATTCACAGACTAGGAAGAAATAAACCAAAAGGTTGATGGTGGATACTTCCAGGTCTTAAGGTTACGTGTATTTGATTTTCTTTAGAGTGTTCTGTGCTCGACAAAGCTTCTAAAAAAAAAAAAAAAAAAAAAACCCATATATCCAGAGAGGAAAACTAAAGATTAGAGTCATCAATTGTCCAACTGCTGCCCTTGTAAACAGAAATGGAAGGGCCCCAGTTAATTTCTGGGCTAGAGATGCCAAAATGCATTGTCATCCCTTGGAGCTTGGGGCCCAGAAGCACGGCAGCTTTGAGCCTTTTAAGATGATCGCCCTGGTGCCATTACCTCTAAGAATTAGCTTGTTAATTATCAGGAATTAACAGTCGCTAATTATCATCTGTGACTAGCAATTAGGGGGAAATGTCTTGTGGAGATTAAATCACCAATGGCACATTTCTCTGCCCAAGCCAATAATGAAGTGCTTAGGTGCTCAGAGATAGGTGAGCTTACAGGCATGAGTGAGCGCCCAGTTGGAGAACTGGGAGTGTGTGTGGCGGGGTGGACAGGTTTCAACTGGGGAGGAGAAAGAAGTGGAGGATAGTCCAATGCAGACATCCTGATCTCAGTTTCCCATGAACCCACAGAAAACCCTGTAGTGCTTGATGAAGGGTTGGGGGTTTGGGGGTTCTTGACAGGGCTTCCGAGCCAGTTACAGCAGCTGCTCCTGTAAGTGGGTC